TAGGATCGAGTAAATTTTGGAACATGCCCTAGGTGTTACGTCACGCGGCCGGCTTGCGGGTGCACGCTTTGGACGCTATCGTAAGGACGGAAGCTCCTACCAGCCTTGAAGATCTGTGGACGCACGCGGCCGGCTGCGGTTCCGTTCTTCGGCCTGCCACACCGTTCTTGACGCGCAGTCGTACCATGTCACCAAGCGGTAAGCGCACGGTGTTGTCGCCCCTGTATGTACGACATGTATGCACAACAATGAAATGGCTTTGTCCAGTGCGCGATTGATGCCTGGTCCGGGTATCGAACCCGAAACCTCTCCATTTCCAGTGGAGCGCTCTACCAACTGAGCCAACCAGGGGTTAGACGTCAGTAGAGCAAGCAGGTTTTATCAGCTGCCCCAGCATCAGCTGCTCCAGCATCAGCTGCCCCAGTCTAACACCAACAAGGGTGAAAGGCTTGCATTTTATGGTTATGATTGTAATGCAATTAAATGCAAAGGTGCAAGCGAGCTGGACAAGAATGACAAAGATGATTCCTGGAGAAGAAGAACAAGAGGGACAAAGGACAAACACAGCTAGGTGACTAGAGCGCGACCGAAAAAATCCGCCTGGTCCGCTATCGAACCCAGGATATCTCCATTTCCAGTGGAGCACTCTACCAACTGAGCTGACCAGGGGTTAGACGTCAGTGGAGCAAACAAGTTTTATCAGCTGCCACCGGTCTGACACCAACAAGGGTGAAAGGCTTGCATTTTATGGTTATGATTATAATGCAATTAAATGCAAAGGTGCAAGCGAGTTCGACAAGAATGACGGAAATATGATTCTTGGGGAAGGGGAACAAGAGGGACAAAGGACAAACAGAACTAGGTGACTACGTTTTCTGTGCATCGCGTGCAGATAGATGCCAAAACATCACTTTCGTGACCTTTAAAACATACATGTAAATGTCCAACTATAGGTGCCCGATCTGCTTGCACCAGGGAGAAGGGGGATTTATGCCTACACCTAGCAATCTAAACTTTTCGTCAAAGGTGTATTTCACAGGTTAGTTTTTGCTTGTAAAATTACAAAGCGTAGCTCTCTTTCTGTAAAAAATAGGGCCAAGAAACTTGCCAGGGCCAACAGCGGGTGGCGACGCAGACGACCAAGTCGAGTAGCGTGGTGGGTTTGGCTTTCGTATTGATAAATGGCGCTACCTCGCTGGTCGGCTTTGCCTTTGGACGCTGCTCCCAATGCCATCTGTCAACACGTGCGCCAAAGGCACCCTGCTATTCAACTCGGTCGTCTGCGTTGCCGTCCGCCGTTGACCCTGGCAAGTTTTTTGGCCCTATTTTTTACAAAAAGGGAGCTACGCTTTGTAATATTTGCAAGAAAAAATTGACCTGTGAAATACACCTTTGACGAAAAGTTTTGGACTGCTATATGCAGGCGTCGATTTTCACGGTCCATTTTAGATCGAGCCTGGTGACTTGGGAAACCCTATATATAACCGCTGCGCGAAACGCTAATGCACATCTTCGGGAATCCGCGTGGCGACAGCAGTTTATCATTCTCATTAGTCTTTTGCAATGTGCGAATGCACCAAATTCCCGTGCGCTTTGATTTATGCCGCTTGAGTTTTCTTTGTCAAATCTGTTGTGTAGTGTCATAATTAGCTGAATATTAATTTTCAATTTGAAGTACATATATTCATCCACTTATGGTCTTTTAATGCTTACTCTAACATTCATTTTGGTGTTTAAATGCTTATCTAGGTTTATCTGCTTCCTTTTTCTTCTTTTATAATTTATTCTTCTTTTTGGCCCCCAAGAGCGCAACAGATGGCTAAGCCGACCCTTTAGCCAAAAAGTTTGGCGACCCCTGGTTTAGATGGAAGCTTGGGCAAGTTGGTGATAAGAGTTCATATTAGCAGCAACAGCGCATAATGTGTCTTCCCCTTTTGTCCTTGTTTGTTGCACGCTGTCGCTGCTAATCTGAGCCCATTGTTTGTTTAGATGCTCTGGAGTATGAACCAAAAAGAAAGGAAATAAATGACCCCTTGTCACACAAAGGGTTAAATTAACTCTTGTTCCAGCGGTGCTGTGTTGATGTCTGTTCGGCTGGCTCCACGCTCCCCCCCCCCCCCAATCTGCTCCATAACTGCGTAAAACCTACCAACTGAAATAGAATTTAGGAACTACCATTCGTCCGGCCGGGGGCGTTTCCACTTTGACATTTTTTTGACTAGACGTAAAGAAAGTCACTTGATGCAGACCCTTAATAGTGACCATAAGGCCACACCCTCCTTGGCCATGTTTCATTGCAATCACGATACACCTAATGTGTCGCGATTACCTAAATTGTGTCACTTATGTAAAAAGACATAATTGATGCGACCTAAACGTAACACAGGTAATTTTATTCGAATTTTACCAAGTTTTACATTTTGGGTACTTAAAAATTTTGCTTTTACAACTCTCCGCCTGTGGTGTTTCGTATTTCCCTCAAGGGACATTTTTGGGTACAAAATCTTGACCATGTTTGAACTCAATCATCACTCTTAGTCGATGTCATCAACGTGCCTCGATGGAGTTGTCTCCCAGTAGAGTTTGCCGGCAATAGAGATGAGGCTCCTCCCAATGGCGACATCATGATAAAGTTTCTTTATCATTTTATCTAGCTTGGAAAGAACCCTTTCTTGAAACTTTGTACCATGGTGCACGAAATCAGAACGCAGCAAATCATAAGTGCTGACATCGGTGGTCCTGAGAGAAAGAATGATTGCAAGTTTAATGGCACAGGGACAACTAAGGCCATAGTGTGAGAGAAAGAGATTGATAGAAGAGCGGAAAAAGAAAGCAGACGATAGGTTGGGTGTGTTTGCACTGCCGAGACGACTTGAAGTTGTTCGCGCACTTGTTCGCTTTATTTCTTCGTACACAGTGCACAACGCAGGTGTTTCCACTGAAGAAGTACAAAATGAAGCTAGAAAAACAATAGGCAGGCCTTACAAATGAGATTCTCCTGCCTCTTTGTGTACAGGCAAAGCCGTATAGACTGACACGCTGTTTATAAACCAGCCCGCGTTTGCCCACACCAGGTGTGGGCACTGCGCGTGCGCAGAAACCAGATTCGCGTGAGACGAAGAAACTGCGCATGCGCTATGCCGACAGCAGCGCCACCACAGAGGCGTGACGTCAGAGCCGCGTGTTGGTCTATACAGAGAGAGTTTGGTCAATGGGAGGAGCGGGCAGAGCCAGGGCGTGCACCAGACGCAGATAGAGGGCTGGACATGCTCTCTTGGCCAACCAGAAACCAAAAATAATCTCCTAGCGGCGGTAGCAAGAAGCGGTTTTAATATATGCGTAAGAGTTAAATGCAACAACTCTTCATGGTTGAAAATATGCTGCACGTGATGATTCGATTATTATCATGCAAAAAGATGTAAGAAACAAATGTGCCAGTCTGTGTTTTGCTCGGATGGCAGATGCCTAGCCCTCAGCGCCTGGCATACGAATTGTCAATTGTTCTGCTAGTCACGCACGCTTTTTATATCTTCTATATCTTTATACATCTTCCACCATTTTGCGTGACCGTGATCGAAACATCACGTGCACTACTTTTTCAGTCACTGAGAGTTACTCCGACACACTTGTTCATTTTGTTTCTCGCGACCACCGCCAGGGCATTATTCGCAGCTTCTGGTTGGCCACATTTGAATTTGTGAAGATGCCCTGGAGCGCAGCCAGCCCACTTTCGGCCACTGGTGCCTCCTCGTTTGACTCCTATACTTCCCGAATAATGACCGAACTCTTTCTATATACGGCTCTGTGTACAGGGTGAGGCCGTAAAGACCAGCACATTTGGTAAGCCTTGCAAAATTCAAATTCTTATCGTACATCTTGAAACTAAGCACGCAAACATTGTTTTGCAAAGAGTTTTACGTTGATTTTTTTTGGAGCTACACTCAGAGGTGGCAAAATATTAAAAGAAGTGTAAAAACGGCGACCATACATTTTCTTTGTCTCATACCAGATGTTCGTCGTCTGCCCTGGTTTGCGAGCTTTCTCCCAGTTGGTCACCGTTCATATATTTAATTAAAATTATTCTTTCCTGCGATTATCCTACTCATCGCCAGCCTCTACTAGGCGTTCTGTGTTCTTGCATTGAGCAAGCCACCCGGGAACGAGCTTGCAAGCCAGTGAGCAGATGACAAACAGGCTGCTATATGACATAAAAAATACACGGCCGCCGTTTTTGCTTTATTTTTAATATTTCACCATCTTGGAGTTGAGCTTCAAGAAAATTAGACATAAAACTTGTTGCAAAACAATGTACACATGCAGTTTCAGAAATGTGTGTTTGAAATTCGAATTATGCAAGGTGTGCCAAATGTGATGGTCCTTACGGCCTCACTCTGTATATTAAAGCGTCACCAGTGATCTGGGCCCAGCGGGACCACCGATGTTTGTGTTCATGTCCTGCCATTCTGAAACTGCTGGAATGCATACTTTTGTCTCTAGATTATTATATTAACTCTGTGGATGATGCATGCCAGATCCTGCAAGCACTAACACTACCATAAATTAACCACCATAAATTAGATGATATTGCAGGATAAAAAAATGCTGGTTCCAACTACCAAAAGGTAACGAGTTTGATGAAAAAAATTTTCGCCTCACTAAAACATGCCTGGACAATGTTTCAGGTCCATTGCATGCCAAGATGGGACAGCTTTAAATGGGTATAGAGACATTGTGTAAGAACAAATCAAAAGCAAACAATGCTTGATGTCGTAATTCAACAATAACAATATCCATGCAGTAAGGTCAACAAAATTATGCGGACTTGTTCCTCCAAGTGCGCCACACTGCTAATACAGGAACAATTATGGCACATTTACATGAAAGGAAGACAATGCTAGACAGTAAAAGGATAGACCTCTGGAAAATTGTGCCAACTACAGGATAGCTCTTTTGCCTCCCAATGCAAAGCCGTCACAGCAACCCAATAAAGCAGCTGTGGAGCCTTTTTGCAGAAACTTTACTGCCACATCAAAGCTATGTACATCAGGAAGGAGTCTCTGGAACACATGGAAAGGGGAAAAGGCACCTTGGTCAGTTGAGGAACTTGCGGCATCGGCGGGCACCACACGAGCATGGGATCTTCACCTCTTCCTTCGGGAACTTGTAGTCGTATGTGAGTTCCTCGCCCTTGTAGATCTTGCGGAGTGCATAAATGATGATGTGCTTCTGGCCAAACACTGCAATCACCTTGGAATAGCAGTTGGGGTCGCACGAGTGGTTGATGAAACGAGCTGCATTGCCGTGCGTCGTGGCATCCACCACTTGGTCCTCGTCCATGCGGAACATGTAGCAACCGATGCCTCGACTCTCGTAGAGCCGTTCCCGCTTGTCTGTCAGGACCGACCGTACCACCTGTCCCGCGTACTCAATCACCATCTCGCCTGCATCTATGTTGCGCTTAGAGTAGAGCCCCCGCCCGTGGATGAGTGAGCGGTAGACTCCAACTGTGGCCTTAGCACTGTCCTTCAGGCAGTGGAAGCTGATGATGGTGGCCAGTTCTTTGTCCTGGATGCCTCGTCGCCGCTGGCCACTCTCCTCCGTCTCCTCGTCCCGGCAGACAGGTTCCGCCGTGGGGGCTTTGCGATGCACCGATGATAAAAAGTCAAACATGTCGTGCCCCCCGCGGCGCCTCAATGGCTGGGTTCGGGCGCTGCCCCCGTAGCAGTACTTGGCCAACTTGTCTTCGTGTCGCTTCTGAAACTTGAGTCGCAATGCACCGCTCTCCTCGTCCGAGTTGGCTTCGAAGGCATAGACGTCCCTCACTCTGTCCACCGCAATGGATTCCGTCGGAGGCAAACAGGTTTCTTTGAGTTGTTGTTCCTCTTGCAACTCGTATGTGTTTAATGAGGTCTCACAGGTGCTGGATGAGGACTCAAAGCTGTTGGGATCCGGCTCGTAGGTGGCGGGCAAAGGCTCGTAGGTGCTGGGCAAGGGTTCGTAGGTGCTGGGCTCGTGGGTATTGGAAGAAGGTTCGTCGGCAAGTAGGACCCTGGGGGCATCCAGCATGCTGGCATTGTCCAGGCTCGAGAGTGATGAAGCTGACAGGGGTGGCGAGCCAAAGCAGAGTCGGGTCTCCTCGGCATGGCAGAGGGGCAGCTCCGGTTCGGCCCGCAAGCTGCCCATCGAGAAGCCCCCTTCCGACTCCGGCAGCCTTGTCATGGGCGGCGAGAGCATCGAGGGCACCTCTTTGGGCCACGGCAGGATGGGTCTGGGTGCTGGCAGGCCTGTCTTGGGGAAGGGCAGTGACTCGGGCCTCGTGTAGGGTCCGCTGGTCGAAAAGGAGACCTGGCTGCTGGCATCCGCGAGCACATTCTCGAGTGGTGGGGGTGCGTAACTGGGTGCCTCGAGGGCTGCCAGCGCGGGTTTGCTCTCGACCAACGGGTACAGCTTGGAGTAGGGGTCCGACGGCTGCACGAGGGACGTTGGGCCGTTGCTCAGATACACGTCGTTCGTGTGAAGCGAGCCGTACGACGGCAGCAAAGGCTCGCTGGCTGGGGGACTTGGGTAGCTGGGCACCAAAGTGTTGTTCATGAATGACGGGAATTGCGGTTGTTCGGGCAGGCTGAACGGCATCAGCGAGTTGTTCAGAAATGCATAGTGCGACGGGTGCGGGGGCTGCAGCGGGGGCTGCAGCGGAGAGTAGAGCAGCTGCTGGGGCGCCAGGTAGCTGGGCACTTGCGCGCTTCGCGGGACCACCAGCGTGCCCCCAGGGACCTGGAACACGTCGTATTTGCTCGGGTAGCTCGGGCCGGTGCTGAGGAGCGTAGGCTGCACGTAGGACATGGTGTAATTGGCCAGAGGTGGGCCCACGACCCGGTTCAAGTCCAGGCTGCCGATGGGGCAGAAGGCGGACGCATGCAGGGCCACGGGCTGCTGCCCCAGCGGGCCACCCGCTGACATCCCGCCCGCCGTGCTCTTGGAGAGGATCACTTTGGGGCAGGCCATCATGACGACACACGGCGGCGCTGGCTGGAGTCGCGGGCGCTGCTACAATGGGCCCTCGCTGCCCATCGCAGGCTCGGAAGCGCGTCTCAGAACATCTCACGCCACATGTCCCCGGAGCCGCTGTGGGCCCCCGACCCCTCTGCGCGCGAACGCCTTGCCACAGGGCGCTGGACCTTCGCTCCTCGCGAACATCGTCTCATTCATCACAGAGCGGCGCGAACCGTGCGAAGCGAGTGACAGTTCCCCCAGTTCCCATTTGATCGCGCTCAGCCGATCACGAAACGCGGGCTGTGCAGATACCTTCTTCCGCGTGCTCGCAAATGGAAGATGCTTTGTACGAACCCACCGACGATAAACTTCCCAATCGATCAATTCGGGAATTGTTCCAAGTGACTAAAAGGAAGGAGTTCAGGTTCAGCTCCCGCGCAGTGGCGCTCACACACTAGCAACAAGGCCTGCCTTTTTTTTTTTTTTCCCTACTGTTTCCGACCCGCTTTGTTTAGAGTGGATGCACAAATTGTTGTCCTTTTTAATTGAAGTAGGCGTCAGCTTGCGTTACCTGGCGTAACTGGCGAGAACCACTTGAAACTCGTTGGCATGAAGCAGTTATGAGTTGTGACCTGTGTCTATGATGGTGATTCTGACGATATCCTACACTGCTTGGTGATAGTTACAAAAGGCTGCAAGGGGAAAAATCGCTTTTGGTTTTTCGTTTTTTTTTTTAGGATTTTTAGCAACGGGTCGTGTTCACTTCGTTCACTTTATAATCACAGGTCGTGGGTGTCGGGTTTAGGGCGGGTTGCCGTCACCGTCATTATTCATGTTTGTTTATCCCATTGATATCTATGACAAATCTCTGGTTCGCGCGTCTTTGTTGGCTTGGTCGCTGCAGCGGCAGCCCAAACCCCTCCCTTTCTCCCTCCCCCTCCCCCTCCCTCCCTCCAAGGAGGATTCGTGATGAGAAGTTGGCTAAAGCCAAGACGAGCCACAGTTAAAAATGGTGGCTCCTAGTCACAGTGCCGTGCGGCTGTGTGCAGCGTCGTGAGACGTCGGGGGAATTCTCGCGACTGCGCTTGTTTAAATTACCGACAAGACCCGAGGGGGTAGCCCTCAGGAGCCGGCGAGACGCTTCGCCTCTTGAGCTGGCTCTGCTTTCGAGGTGGCGATCCAGTTCATATAACAGCAAATCCAGTAGCTTGGACCCAGTAAGTTTTTTTTTTAGTAAGGAACATAACCGATATTAGCGAAATAGAATTCATCAATGACAGCCACCGAGACAGTTTTTATTTTAAGCGCACGCTTGAGCTGCTTTTCGCATAATGGCGAGACGCAATCTCATTTCTCCGATTACGACTAAGATGTCTCGTTTTGAGACATGACTAGGGTGACCACCCGTCCCGCGACTCGCGGGACTGTCCCGCATTGAGGGCTCGTGTCCCGCGTCCCGCAAGAAATACCAAAATCTTTAAAATGTCCCGCATTTCACATTGTCGTAGCATTCGACCACGCAAATTATGGTGCTTCCGAAGAACGGGCCACGGGGTTGCGCGGAGATGGCGCGGAGGTCGCTGATAAACGTGAATCTTGGAGGTATGCCATTTTCTATACAAGCACCGCGGGAAGCGACCGTTGTTCTTGCAGGAGTCAGACGCGCATGTGCCGTTGTGCCTCTACCCTTGATGGCAAAATATTGCGAGCGAAAATTTCCCTCCAAATTTTGAAAAAATTAACTATTGTAATTATGTGCAAATCATACTGTGTCATGCGAAAGGGTTGTTATCGGAAAGCTTTTTTTGGTGAAGACGGTCACACAAGCCAAAAAACCTGCAACTCACACGGGTCGTAAAAACAAGAGCATAAGGTTCTGATTTTGTGCAAGACCATGTTAGTATAAGAGTATATATTAGTATATATATATTTAGTATATATCGACAGGAAACAATAAGTCGCAAAAGATTTACTGTTTCTTATTTCCCTTTCATGCATTGGGGTCTGCTGCAGTCGATTTATATGTTTTCAACTTAGGCACTCATAATAAAATATGTACCATTACAATTACACAAAAGTATATCACTGTGATTGAAAATTATTTTAGCTTAATTGCTGCCACACAATTTTCAGGTGTATAATATGCTTTCGGACTGCACAGGATATCGGGGTGTGCGGGATGGTTAATTTTTTTTAATACTTATTTCTTGAGTCGTGAAATTGCCGTCGTCCTCTTACCCCTTACCCTTACCCCCCCACCTCCCTCCCCGGTTAGGGTGTCCTGCATTTCGCCTGCAGGAAGGTGGTCACCCTAGACATGATCATTCCCTGTCATCACAGGACAGCCCGTCGCTTCCCGCCCTTCAATTTGGGTCGCACCCGCCCGGGGCCAAAACGCAGAGTTCCTGTATCGGGCAGGAACGTCTGGATGCATTGCCTTCCACCTTGCTGTAAGTTCCACTTGTACATTTAGTGGAAGAAGTGTGTAAGTTTGTTCACTGTATTGTGTCACTCTCTCATTGGAGTATGGCAGATGCCCCAAAATAGGGCTCATCAGCAGCCCGACGGGTAAAGTTAGAGGACGTAAGAAGCAACCGATCTCCGGGGCCACAAAAAGCAGAAGTCATTCCTGGATCATTCAAAATATTACCGGACATAGGTAGTACCTCTGTTGAAGAAACCCCCCATACACAGATATCATGAATATAAAGGCAGAGATATAAAAATAGGGGTCTGTATTGTTTTGTTAAAACGCGTTTTGTGGAAATGCATCTCGTGGACAACTTTTCTTTGACAAATGTTTCGCTGACACTGGCATTTTGTGGACAATTGCTCTTGCGATGTTTCCTCAACAATGTATCTGTTGTTTCCTAATTGGGTTGAATTGAATGACTGGCATCATTTCATTGGCGGCTTCATTGCCTCTAACAAGGCAGTCGTGAAATCTGTTCTCATCTGTGTTCTTCCTCATTTGGTTGTCAGCTGGTTGATCGTCGGTTCAGTAGCTGAAAGTGCAGGCCGTCCTCGTCTTGGTATCGGTTGCAGCTGTCGTCATCGTGTCGGTTCTCATGGTCCGGGAATAACTGAGGAATGTAGTTCAGGGGAGAGCAGTTGGTAGCTGTCTGTGTTGCGGAACGGCCAGAACAATACTGTAAAACCCTCTATTTTCGCGGCCCCTATTTTTTCGCGAATATGTCACAGATGACATAATCGCGACCACTAAATTTCGCGAATTTTCGCATGCCCTTAAATTTTGCGAATTCTTCAATTCGTGAAATTCGCGAAAATTGAGGGCTCGCGAACATTAAGGGTTTTACAGTATATGAAAACTCCCCATTGTATTTATCCAACGCTCGTCCATTGTAACCGACGTTGTGACTTTGACGCTTGTCTCCAGTGGTCATTTCAGCTTCTTGAATGATTGTCACCGAGTAATTAACCATCTTTATACATAATCTTTAGACGTGTGTGAATTTCAACTGACCTTGTGTCTTCTGCAATGAGAAATTCATTTGCCACTCTGCTTCGTCTGTTTGTCCATCATACTCGCTATTTTGTTCTGGGGTACCATTAAAACTGACAAGCACATGAAAAATAAAAAATAAAGTGTAGCAGTGATATTAAACATGGAGTGAGTAGACAGGTGAGCTGGTTCAGGGGTTCTCAAACTGGGTTCCTCGGAACACGGGGGGAGGTTCTGCGAGCTGGTCCCATGGGTTCCGCAAACACCGAAATTGCACACCCCCTCTCCCCCGCCGCGGGATGCGCAGCAGGACCGTGCAAAGCGCCTTCATTTCACTTTGTACTGACATCGCGATTGATATGGTGGGTATGTATGAGAAGCAACACAAGCAAAATTGCCTACGATTGTCCTCGTGTTGCTTCTCGGTCGGCAAATATGGAGGGGGGGGGGGGGGGGGGTTTGGAACAATTTTTTAGGCTTCTTTGGGTTTTGTGGGACCAAAAAGTTTGAGAACGCCTGGTTTATGGTTTATGTTATACATTTTTAAAAACCGGAGACAAAAAAAGGGACAAACACAAAACGTTTCGACATGGAGATTGATATTGAGACATTTTGTGATTCTCCCATCGTTTCCTTTTTCGTCCGTCATCTCTGATTTTTCGAAAATGTGTAAGCAGTGACATTAATTTTTGGGAACAGCAGCATTTGTAGAACAGGTGGAGGCAGGGCCGTACCCAGAAAAAAATTTCGGGGGGGGTTTTCGTGGACAACGGCGGCCATTTTGAAAGTGTCTATTGTCTTATTTTCGCCTACGAATCATGTGCATCGGTGGCATATAATGGAGAGTTGCAGCAAACCGGAGAACCGGTCCCGGTTTGGTATCCGGTAGCCGACCGGCGCCACTGTGCATGCGCAGAGGTGGAGATTAAAATTGGCTGGCTGCAAGTGCACCGACCAGGGCCGTACCCAGAAAAAAATTTCGGGGGGGGTCAGAACCCCCTAACCCCCCCCCTGGTTACGGCCCTGGGTGGAGGAACCGTCCGATAAGCTAGATTTTCTACTTGTGTTTCTACAATGAAAATAAGACTTGATTTCATCAAGTCACAGGAGCTTCTCACTGTGGCAGGAAACCATGTACCATCACTGCAGCCGTTCCATTTCAATGGTCCAATCGTGTACTCATCATTTCTCAATGTGAATTGCCACAGTTACTGCGACACCTTGTGGGGCGCTCGGCCCACCACACAGCGGCCAAACGGCGACTAGCGGGGGGGCGGCTCCCGGTGCCCACGGCATATCCACGGGCTTAAAAGGGATGGCCTGTGCGGCTGACAGTAGTTGCTGCCCCGAGTCTTGGCCAGGTCGGGATCCCCGAGTCATGGTAATAAACCCCGCTTGACCCCAAGGAACGAGTCGTCTGATTGATCACCTGCGACGGACGGCGGAAGTCTAACACTACATCTGGCGCCCAACGTGGGGCTCTGTCGTCCGTCGTCGGTGATCTTGACCAGACGGTTCGTCCCCCCATCTCCTTCCCGCGGGTCTGCCCTTTGTTTTCACGAAGGGATCGTTTTGTTCGAGAGTGCCTCCGAACTTGTTTGACGTATCACAACCAGACCTGTTAATTCGTCCTTTTTCTATTTGTGCCCGTTCTGTATTTCCTGCACAGGATCATCACTTCCACCAAGAGTGGGTCCGCCACGCTCTCCATTTTTGGCGCTTGGCGGCACGCTTCCCGCCGCGCCGCGAGCGTGTCTCCGTCGCAACCTGGACCGTGCTGGTGGAGGACCGTCCGGTGGGCTGGGCCTCAGCGCTACGCTGGAGGGAACAGCCCCGGCCCAAGTGCGGCACGCCCCCGGAGACCGTCCCCGAGCCCTTCCGGGGCAACACTTTGGAGGACCGGCACCCGCACGAGCCCGCGGCTGTATACAACAAGGCGGAGTGCCGCCTGCTGTGCCCCGTCTGCGGAGTGCCGGAACTGCACCGCCCCACCCACCTGGCGGGCGCCTTGCACCAAGCCCGCGTCGCCGCGGACTGGGCTCGCCGAGCCGCGCCATCTCCTGCTGCACCTTCGGCAGCCCCCCGCCCGTTGGAAGTCGCAGAGGCCATCCGAGTGCTCCGCCAACTCCGCCCAGATCTGCTCCGCGACCCAGCCCACGAGGAGGCCATCTTAGACCTCGACCTCTAAGGGGGGGGGAGGTGTGGGGCGCTCGGCCCGCCACACGGCGGCCAAACGGCAACTAGGCAACTAGCGGGGGGGCGGCTCCGGGTGCTCACAGCATACCCACGGGCTTAAAAGGGATGGCCTGTGCGGCCGACAGTAGTTGCTGCCCCGAGTCTTGGCTAGGTCGGAATCCCCGAGTCATGGTAATAAACCCCGCTTGACCCCAAGGAACGAGTCGTCTAATTGACCACCTGCGGCGGACGGCGGAAGTCGAACGCTACAACCTTGAGAAGTACATGACAGTGGTTCGTCAGTGGTAATTCCTGCAAAGAACACGTATGCACAAAGATGGGCGGTGGAAGCTACAGTAGAATGTCATATGTGTGGTGGTGAGGCAATGGAACTGACAAGCTGACCGACATGGTTCAGTTGTTGTGCGGTTACATGCTCTATTGCTTCTAGGGAGGCAGTCATCGACTATGTTCTCGTCTTTTCTGTATTCGGCAGTTTGGTTGTCATCTGGTTGGTCATTGCCAGTCCAGTCATCGGGTCGCCTTTGGTCCCATTATCAATTGCTGCTCTTTTCATCATGTCGGTCCTCATGGTCCGAGAACAACCAGGAGACGTGGTTGGGGGGCATAAAATCAATACTGATTAAAGGTGCACTAAAGACGTTTTTGAGATCATTTGTTTTTAGTGAGAACTCATTCTACAAGATCTTAGCATCCCACAAATCGAAAAATTATGCTCGTGCGGCGTCTATTTCCTTACTAAAAATGTGATTGAAGTTTGTGCCACGCCCCTTTCTGAGCGGAAAAATCTGGAGCACAGAATTCAGTGGAGGCGCCGGCGGCGTGACGACGGGCACGCGTTAGCTAATCGCAAGCCGCCTTTCCGAGAGAGGCGGCTGTGACTGGCTGACGCGCGCTCGTCGTCACGCCGCCGGTGCTTACGCTCAATTCTGTGCTCCAGATTTTTCCACTCGGAAAGGGCATGGCACAAACTTCAATCACATTTTTAGTAGGGAAATAGACGTCGCACGAGCATAATTTTTCGATTTCTGGGATGCTAAGATCTTGTAGAATGAGTTATCACCAAGAAGAGACGATCTCAAAAACGTCTCTAGTGCAGCTTTAAATACATTCAATTGCAATTTTTTTTTTTTCGAGAAAAGACTAATTAGTTTAGTTTGGAATTATATTCTAAAAACATATTTAAAGAGCCATAAAGAGGAACAATTTTAAATAAAGAGCCACAATAAAAAGGAATGTGGTACTTAAAAAAAAGTTTTAAAAACATTTTTCTTTTTAGTTTGTTGCCACAGCAAATTCCAATCATAAGGCGATTGTTCAGCATGTTCCTTTATTATAAGTCCCTCTTTGTAACACAAGTAGCTTGTCCGTTTGTATTTTTGCACAATGCTGACAAAACGCAAATGACCTTTTTATCTTGCAAGGGGGAAGGAGCAGTGGCGTCACAAGGGGAAGGGGCGGACCGCCTCGGGTGCAGCTGGGCAGTGAAAGGGGGGTGGGAGGGGGGGCGTCGCGGCAGACCATTGCCGTGACACCCCTAGTGACGCCACTGGGAAGGAGTGTTAGGTTTACCGGGGGTAAGGTGGCAAGCTGGGCGAGTTGGGAAACACTAAAAGTGATGAAAAATTGCGTACAAAGAGACAAGGACCTCTTTTGTCTGTTTCTTCGTGTGCAATATTTTATTATGTTTACCAAGGAGCCACAAGCCGCACCTGGGCCCCCAGAGAGGCTCGCGAGCCGCAGTTCAGCCACCCCTGTTCTACACCTGTACTTAACGTCAACTATTGTGTGCAACCTCCTTGTCAAGGCTATTCGTGTAGCTTCCACAGTGCTATCCAGCCGGACACTGCTGCGAGAGCATGTGGTCGAGGCTTCTCTCATTCGCATTCCTTCGGGCAACTAGCTGACAGAGATGGAGCACTGAGGAAGCTACGCTGGCCTGGACAACATAGCACAAAATTGTTGACGCCAAGTATAGACGAGTGAGCGTGATTGGGAAGCTCAGCTTCCTTTCAAATTCAAAGGCGGACTGTAGTTGTTCCTCCAATTCGTCGTCGTTAGTCAAGGTCACTACCTTTTTGCCGAGCTCCTGAGGTTCTGATGGTCTGCGAAGCATTTAGGAGAGAAACTGCCCAGGCAGGGATGAAAGAATTGGCTTACACAGCTCATCGTCGTGAATTTCGGTCCACCTTCAACCACTGTCGGGACCATACGGTCTCGCAGTTCTTGTCCCATACCAGTTCGATCGATGGAACCAAGCTCGACGGTGCTCGGGAGGCTTGGAGTTGGCAAAGGTTTGCAGCTATACGTGGCTTGCATTGACATCGCATCAGCCGCCATTGCTCCATACCAAACTCCTGTGCCCGTACCTGCTGCAGCATATATTTCGCACCTCGGCAAGCCTTGCCGAGAAGACAGATTCAATGGTGCAAAACGTATGCTGCAGAAGGTATGGGCACAGAGCACGGCAAAGAGCAATGGCGGCTGGTACGATGCCATATGACGCCACGTGTAAGGCATGTATACAGGTAGGTGGTAGCCAGGTCCAGTGTGGTTATTAGTCTGTTTTGGTCGAATATACAAATGGACAGGGAGGGAACCTTACGTGTGCAATCAATTCAATAGCAGTCGGTTGATGGATCGATCAGCCCCCAAGCTTCAACACCATCATATGAAGGAATGGCAAGAACCCAACCTCTCTTGCCAAGTTACTGTCAAATTTAATGCTACTCTGTTGCTAAAGTTGCACAAGCCCTTACTGGTACCTTGCCTTCATTGATTTTTAACATGTAACATTGCCACTCTATCATCTGTGCCTATATGTGTAAATAACCATCATTGTGTTAGCTTTATTTTTATCCTTTGCAAATGGCCACAAGAGCTTAGAGCTACTGTTGCATAGTCTATGTAGTTGTCGTATTGATGTCTACATTTTTCCGTGATGCTGTCCAAAACCTCTTGTATTTTGCTTTCTGCATTAGGAGTGGTGCACACTCCACTACAATTGTGTTTTGAGAGTTTGCGATGTCATTGTGAATAGTTCATAATATGTGTAGCTACGTAAACCATATGCCTATGTATTCTTCGTACGACTCTTGCCGTTATATGCTATGTGACCAAGCTGGAATGCTTAAACAGATTTTTTTATTCGTGTCAAATTGTTAGTGTTTTTCGATGTGCCTTTCACAATAGAATTTTAGGTCATCGATCTCGTTGTCCACTTGCATGTCACTTCGTACGCTGCATCTGTATCCCTTCTTATTGTTAATAGATCACGCAGAATAACAATATACTGTTTAATATGTGATAAAAGTCCTGTTTGTACTTGTAAATTACGGTGAAGGCGCAGTACAAGCGAACAGAAAAGTCAAAATTTCATGGGAGCTGCCATTTTGAGAATGAAAACAATACATAAAGACAAAATATGATTAGTTTCAACCACGGTGGAAAAAACACATGTAGGTGATGACTCTGACCGCTCTTCCCGCGGGCAGTGAACGACCAGATCGTGTTCGGACCTAGCCTCGAAGCAGGAGTAGTTAGTTCCGCACCGCCACGGAGGGCGCTGAGGTATGAGGTCCCTCCTCGGCGGCCATGGTGCCGGCGGCGTAGCGTGCTCGCCTTTTTCGCAGTGTAGTGGTGTGGTGGTGGTATGCGGCCAGCGGCTGGCCTCGTGTTTTGCTTTGGTGCTGCCAGTGGAACGGCCCAGGAAAAGCCAGCCGGTACTAAAAGCACCACTGATGTCCGACTCGCTGTCCGCCTCCGCTACTAAGACATGAGTGCGTCTCATAGCGGGTCCGACGGTCACTGTATGGCAACCATGAACCAGACAGCCCCGTCGCAGTGATCGAGGGATATAAAAGTGATCACTGCGACGGGGCTGTGTGGTTCATGGTTGCCATACAGTGACCGTCGGACCCGCTGTGAGACGCACTCATGTCTTAGTAGCGGAGGGGGACAGTGAGTCGGGCATCAGTGGTGCTTTTAGTACCGGCTGGCTTTTCCTGGGCCGTTCCACTGGCTGTGCAGATTGGTGGTTTCCTTTATTTCCAATTAATTTCCAATTGGCATTTCCAAGAAATTTCCACTTGATCCAAGGATCCAGTTCATTTTACTTTAAAATGGCTTTTAGTCTGCGGTGCGAAAGCGGACCAGAGACACAACATTTTTCTTATTTCTATAGGTATCAACATATCAAATGTGTCGATCACAGGTGCACCATCGTGCACAAAGGTGAGCCTTAACCCGAAGAAGAAGGAAGACAGCGCAGATTTACGGACTCTGGCGACTTGGTGGCGGCGGTGAGGTACAACAAGAAGCAGTGAGCGAGAGAATGCGGGACCACCGCTGGCAGAAACAACCGAAGAGGTCGGTTCGGGAAGGACCCGATACTTGGGCGACATCTATCCCTGTGTGAGTGAAGTGCTCGGCGCACCGAACATAATGTGGTTGCCGCGTGGGACAGAGGATCGTCACCTCAATGTTTCTTCCACCGTGGTTCTAACGTCCTAGATGGGAGGGCGCTATAACATGATAAAATATTTAATCTAGAAAACCATGCTTTCCTTTTCTTATTTCTTGAGGTTTATAATTAGTATCCCTCAAATAATTTTATATTCTAATTGTATTAAATAAACTTTTATTTATAAAATAGCCTCACCACGAGGTGTTTCAGTTAGCACAGGCTTATTCTAGAGTGGGCAAACTGTATTATGAACTGTGGTTGCCGCCCTGTAGAAAAATCCTCCTCTTCGACGGGCGGCCAGCAACATAATATTTATATGTATGCACGCCGCCGAAGAATGCGAGGCTGGCGAGGCCATGACACGCGAGGGCACAAATGGCGGACGGAAGTGGCGAACCGGACGGACGTTCGGCCAATCGGTGGTAGTGGAAGGGGTTTCCACTACCACGTCGATTGGCCGAGCGTCTGTCCGGTTTCGGTTCACCACTTCCGTCCACCATTTGTGCCTTCTCGTGCCGCAGCCTCGCCAGCCTCGCATTATCCGGCGGCGTGCATACGTATAAATACTATGTTGCTGGCCGCCCGTCAAAGCTTTTCTTATTTATTTACAAATCGAATCTGTAGAGCATATGTCGCGTGTTTTGCTCTTGAAAACGTCATCGAACTGCCGCTATGATGTGGCATTACTAGTAACTCGTGCATGTTTACAAAATGCTCATTCACGTTTTTCATCTCATCGTCACTTCGGCGTGTAAAGGCAGAAATAAAAAGGCACAAGAAGTGATGATATTTGCTGTCGACTGTTTTGGGAACGAGCATAAGATCATGGCTTTGTGTTCCATAAGAGAAACATGTGCGTTAATCGTCTTGGCTCTCTTTTCTGCTGAAGAAGATATAAGATTAGGAAAATCTGTCTCACAATTAAATTTTATTGAATGAATGTTTATAAAGTAAAAGATTGCATCTGATTTCGAACCGAATGATCCGAGCAGAGACGCAGCCGAAGCCTCGACAAAACTAGAGCACCTGCTCCAGACGTGAAGCAATGGAAAGACATGCCCAGTAACTAAGACATCAAGGACACTGGCAACTCATACCCTAGTGATAACACGAAAGCTGCAAGTTGAAATCGCGCAGAAAACACCAATCTAACAAGGGTTTGCCTACAGTCACCTGTCGCAGCACTCGGCGGAAGAGCGGCCTAAAAAGCGCCAGCGTCGAAATGAGAGAGGGAGAGACTCGCTGAGAGTAGGAAAGAGATTCTCGAGGGAAAGGGGGCTAAGGCTACTTTCAGTATAGAGGGGCTTTAGGCCAGGTAGGTTAACACATACCTCGGTGATGCATGCATGATGAAATGTTCCTACAGCGTGCAATTGGCATAACAAGTGTCTATGAAATGTTAAGTGTCGACAAAATGTGTAATTATCCACGAAAAGTTGTCCATGAAATGCGTTTACATAAAATGCCGGGATAATAAGAAAGTCTATATTCTACCGGCAGTCGTCACACGATTTCAGACAGCCAATGGAAGGGGACTGCTGATAGAATTTCCGGGAAATTATTCTCCCAGCTTCCGGAAGAATACACGTCCTTTAAGCAAATCTAAAATGTTACTCTGGACCAAAAAATGTTTTTCTTAAATTACAGCATTTTGTGTGAAATAAAAATTTATACTGTATCTTGGTGGCGTTGCAAGTGCGAGACGCTTGGGCTTTTGCATCATGGCAGAGAAACGCTATTCTGAAACCCTCTTGCGTAGCATTTACTAACGCAAGCGCTAAATTTAGCGCTAGCATGCTCCAAAATTGTGCATGTTATTCTGAAACTCCCTAATAACTGCACCACATGGGAAGACTTGCTGCAGTCTTGTCGGTGGCATGAAACTGCCGTCCAACTAGAAAAGCAGCCGCCTGAAGTGCGAATAGCCACTTTCATGTCCGCCATCGGAACCGAGGCTCATAAAGTCTACCGAACGTTCCAGTTGACTAAGGAAGAAAGATGTGAAGGTCATCAAAGTGAAGTTCACAGTGCACTTTACGTTGCACATCAACCATGCCTGAAAGGCACAAGTTTAGCCAAATGATGCAAAAGGAAGGAGAGTCCTCCACGGACTACGTGACTGCTGCAGACTACAAGCCAAGAGATGCAACCTCGGTACATTTGCAGAACTCCAAGACCAAATCATCGTCGGCATGCAGAAAGACTATGTGAGTTTGCAAGGAAAATGAGCAGGCAACCCCTACAAATCGGACATGACGACACAGAGAACAAAGGCACTCGACGTAGTACAACCCAGAATAAAGCGAAGAAGGTAGACTACAGCCAACAAGCAAGGGAAACAGACGACGACGGCAGAAAGAAAAGTCCTTAAGAACTGGTTACTGTGGAAGTAAGCACCAGAGATATGGCAATGCATCACCTGCAACAGGACACTTTGCAACTGTCTGCAGAACAGGCAAGAGAAAACATAGAAGTTCCCACAGTCAGATGCACAGACTCGAATGAAGAAATGTCAATCTCAAATCAAGAATGCGAAGAACAACGCAAGTGACAACTGGCATGAGAATGTTGTATTTCCTTGTGGAAAGACACTAGTACAAATGAAGTTGGACACCAAAGGACAGTGCGGTGTGCAACCAGACAGCATTGCCAAGTCTCCGCCTTAAGACAACAATTGACAGTGAAATGCATCGTCTCCTACACCCAACACAGACTCGGCGTCCCCTGCGAGTGCAAGGTACGAGACCAGCCAGTCAAGATCAAGTTCATCGTCGTGGATGGACACATAGTACCAATTCTAGGAAGAAACGCGTGTGAAGCACTGAACCTAGCGAAACGTAGGCACCTGCTAAAACAGCAAGATGCAAACCTGTACAAGGGCCTAGGATGCGTAAAAGGGTTTGTCTACAATGCCGACCTAAAGGACGATGCAGTCGATGGGAAAATAGTCCGAACCAATGGTTGGGATTTTTTGAACCTGCAGGAACCACGAAAATTATCGACCTTAAAGTTTCTTCACTAGCAGGTATTGATATAAATTTTAAAATACTGAAGAATACAAAAGATATAAAACTAGAGCAAGAGTGCAAGCGAGCTACCTAGTTCAATACTGACAAGGTAACCCAGGAGTGGGGGAAAGATGAGAGACAACACAAGCTCCAACAAAAAGCTTTGGAGCTTTGTGCTGTCCGTCCCGTTTTCCCCCCACTCCTGGGTTACCATGTCGGACAGAAGATTGGCCAAAATATTTTCACACTTCTTTTTCAACTGTTTTTTTGCCATTTGACAGGAAGGTGGGGAAGATAGTCCAAATTTACAAAATGACGACATGCCTCGAATTATCGTCCCATTTCCCTAACGAGCGTCTCATGCAAATTAATAGAACATATATCCACTCCAAAATCATTCACCTCTTGGCAAACAACTGCTTTATCAACGGCTCCTTACACCGTTTTCGAAAATATTTTTTAGGTGAAACGCAACTCGCATCTTTTTTTCACGAGCTGCATGTTAAAGACCGACGACCAGACTTGAGATTCTGTAAGGCAGAAGATCCTCCTCACCATGGGGGAGGAGGAAACAGGCAACGGTGGACAGGGCAGAAGGGGGAGAGGAGGAAGCGGGGGAAAAGTGGAAAGCGGAAACTGGTCGTCGGTCTTTAACCTTGATTCTAATATTACAACTGATGCCATCTTACTGGACTTTGCTAAACAATTTTATAAGGTTCCTCATAGATGTCTCACATTGAAGCTTTCTCGACTGAACTTAGATTCATCAATTCTTAACTGGATGATTAACTTTCTAACTCGCAGACAGCAGCACGTTGCCGCCAACCAGGTTTTTTTGCCGACGTCACATCAGGTGTTCTGCAAGAACCCGTCCTCAATCCACTTCTATTTTTCTATGTCCCTCAAGGGCAAGCTCGTGTATTTTACTCGTCACCCTGAACCTATTCCTTCCCTTGTATCTTTCCTTTCACCCGATCTTTCCTGAGTCACTCATATCAGCCATACCATCCCCTCTGCCAATAGCTCTTCAGGGTTTTTGAAGTGGCCCCTCCTCACCTAAAACAGCTTGTCATCTGTCCAGAACCTGAATACACATCTACCATCTGAGACCAGCCTATCTTAATAATAGTGAATCAGTTTAGCATCAGGCATTATGTTTCATTTACTTGGATCCTTTTCTTACAAGCGTTCTTCGAATTCATGCCAATTTTCACATCCTCTGAACGTGGCAAACTGGCTAGACTATCTCTCACAAATGTTTTTACAGCCCATGCCTCTGGTCATTATACATGGTCCTTTGAGAACGCTGTCATGATCGTATGGGCCATAACCTCGACCCAAAGGCAAGAAGCATCAGTTTCCAGAGCTCCTGCTTTTCACGTCGATTGCAATGGTCTTCCCCAGAACATTTTAACTACTCGTGACTCAACTGAGAAACTATTACCCAATATTGCACTTTAGGTCTAATGGAGTGGATTTCTGTGTTTGTATACTTAGCCTCATGATGTTTGTTTTATATTTACATGCATACTTGTACCTGTAACATTGCACCTTTCTTTCGTTGTTATCCACCCCCTAGGATGTCCTTAAGGTATTTAAATAAATAAATTGCCAAATGGGTGAGTGACTGCCTAGGCTGGGTGTGTAACCGTTGAGCTGAATGGCTCTCCAACCAAGTAGCAGAACCTTTCGGCGAGAGGTACAGCACCAAACTGCCAGTATGAAGATTGCCCACCTAGGCTCCACGGGGGGTAAATCATGGAAAAAAGTCTTGCCAATGCTTGGCACCACCTCTGGACATGGTGACAGCCTTTGACGGCGTCAGAAAAAGGAGACTGCATATTCTAGCAGGTTTCCCGATTGAACCTACGTTGCCTGCCACTGGATTTGGAGCCGGAAAAGCGGCGGTACGTCGAGCTCGTCCAAGCACGGGACACCTTCAACGCTGCGACGGACGACGCAAACATAGGTAGGTCTGTCGGGGCATCGCGTGACTGACTCGCCTTGTAAACAGTAGTGTGCAAAGTAGGAATCATCGGTGGGTGGCTCAAATGCACTAAAACAAAACCAGAAAAAAAAAAAAACACTGCTTTAGGGCACTGACACTTGGGGAAACCATCTCTGGGGAACCCCTGGCTTCTTAGGAAGCCAGCTTTGAAGCCCATACTCGACGAGATACGTGTGCGAAGTGCTGCAACAGGGTTACGCTGGACTTCTGACTTGTGTTGTGGGGCCGTAAAAAGTTTGCTTTGCCTCAAGAGCTGGACCTGACCGGCGGCGCCACTTTTAGCAGGTCACCGATATGAGTGCACTTAGTATAATACAAAGCATCACTAAGCCACAGTTCTGCCTGAACCATACAGGCACAATGTATGAACCAGGTTGGAGTTTTTAAAACAAGCCTTTATTCTTTTTTCGTTAGAGCAAACACTGCAAAACCCAACTGTACAGCAAATTAATATGCACAAAAGCCCACACTAACTATGCCTTGTCCTTCACAGAGTTATGCCAAGCCACGCTTCTGCATTTCCTGCAAGGAGAAAGAAGCAGCCAAACAAAAGGAACGTCAATAGGTAATTCAATGAGTGCTTCAAAGTACTGCGCAGGGCGATTCACCCAAAGTCGGCCAAACTGCTCCTGCCACAACAACACATTGCACAGAAAAACCATTGCTGCTGCGTTGGTCACTGCCCAAAGCGCAACTTGGCTAGGTACATAGCGTTTCAAATAATTAGGCGCTTAATTATATTTCCTTGACTAACACTTTAATTAGTAGAAATAAACATGCGGTTAATGCTGTTCCTCTACAACAAACTGACACATACATGTATATTGGTGTTCTTCTAACTAAAACCTCTCTTGGGACAGTCATATTAATTCAGTGGTGTTTGCTGCCAACCGAAGCCTAGGTTACCTCAGTCTCAACTTCACATCTGTTTCAAGTAACCTAAAGAGACTCCTTTACATTTCCTTAATACAATCGAAATTAGAGTATGCATCCCCCATTTGGCACTTTCACCTTTCTTCACTAACAGACAGCATTGAGGCTGTCTAAAAGCGTGCTGCCCAGTTCATTCAATCTGACTACTCATGTTTTTCTAGTGTTTCTCAAATGAAATCGGATCTTTCTCTTCCTTACTTGCTACCTGATGGGAGATTTTTCGTCTCTGCCTTTCGCATGGAGTCTATTATTCGCCCCTGCTACATCAGACTCTTTTCATTCCGCCAACCTATTCATCTTCTAGACTAAATCATCCTTAAAAAAAAACCCCGGTTACAATGTTTTTTTACAAAACATAAAAACGCTCTTCTCCCCGACGCAACTGCGGACTGGAATGGCCTTCCCGGTGACACTGCAGCCATCAAGGACCCCACCAGATTTTGCGAAGTGATTCGACAATATTGTAATATGTCACCCACACCACACACCTCACGGCCCCGTAAGTATTGTAAATAAATAAATAGATTCCTATTATAAACTTGCTGGGCATCATTGAACACCACTAAATTTTAAGAAGACTGAGCACAGGGGAAGCATGGGGTGTGCATAAGTTACCGTCTGTGCGGGTGGCACAAGGCTGGTGGAGAAAAATCGCTACATACTTCGACAAATAGTCTCCTCAACAGTAACCAATAGAGTACCAATCTTACTTCTAGGTGATGCGAGGATTTTAAGTAAAAAATGTAGCCGGCATTTCGCGAAACACCAATGTAAAGTCGGCGTATTTCTTGAGTCACAAAGTGGAACATGGACACGAGGAAAGGGTGTGTCATTTGGCACCAACATACACTTTGACGAGAAAGCACCGACACATCGGAGGAAAGCCCGCATGCAGACACCCCCCCGTGAAGCGCTTGTAGCACCAGGCACCTCTCTCTATTTAATCAGGAGAGCACTCACTATCGCGCTCGAATATAGGGCAATCCTTTATAACGATGTACTGCTTATAACGATCAGTTTGTAGAGTTTCAAGTCCAGATACTGCCGAGACTGGTTATAACAAAGTCAACGGGAATCGGAAATCACCTTGCTATATATCCGCTATTTCGTTATAACCGACTTCGGTTAACGAAGTGCAAAAGGGAATGGGAAATCGTGATCGCTTCCCTGCAGCCGCTATTTCGTTATAACCGACTTCTTTATAATCGGTCTCGACAGTACAATGATAATCAGATGTAACGACCGAGTTTTCAAGTTTTCTCATTATCGTTATAAGTGGATTGCACTGTAGTCCAGCATTCGCAATAATAAAATGTTTAAGCTTGATCAGGCTGACAAAGAATGTGTGTGGTTTGTGCTAGATCTTTCATTGTGCACCCCAGATGTTAGCCAGGCAAAACCAAGCCAATTAGCGCACCGCACGAGCACTACCTTATATGGCTCTTGCACAATGCGCGACGTCAGTGAGGCGAGCGGTCACATGGTGTGATGTCGGACTGCCAGCATGTTTTGTCAGGAGCACGATGCTTCCAGAGTAGCTGTGCTACGCAGCTCAGCTACTATTCGCAACTCCAACGCCCTATAAGTGGCGGGGCGGTATATCTAAGATGGCGGAAGAGGCGGGGATAGATTCTCCAGGGTTTCCCGTGCGCCTGCTCGCTGATGCTGGTCAGTGCACTAAAAATGATTTATTTGTCTGCAAACGCAAAGTGGTTAGGGCAGGATCATATTACAGGTGACGGAGATGTTGATGTGCGTTAACAAAATGAGCATGCTGATATTTAAAAGTTGCAGAAACCTCGACTTGCGAGGCTTTATGGTGGGCGAATGCGTTTCATGTACTGGCCCCGTCACTGTTAGTGGCAGAATATTCTTGAGGGTGATGAAGATATCGTGTTTGCAGTTTGCCTGGTCATGAGTGCTCTAAAAAGTGAGCCGCGCACAATGACCGTCAAGCTTCGGAAGAGCAGCGTTCACAGTATTGATGTCTTCGTGTCACAGGCTCGCAACTCGCTGTTCACCGTCTCAGTTTTAGTGTATAGGCTGTGTCTACAGTGCCGTCCGACGGCACTCCACTCGCACCTACAAGTGCTGTCCGAAAGAGAGTTGGACGGCGCGTGTATCACTGGGGAGCTTGTTAACACACTCCCCCCCCGGCATGTGTTCACGCCGCTTCGTGGCGAAAGTATGCGGCTGCTAATTACGAAACTATTGACCCATTTGGCCCTGTCGTACACGCCGCTTCGCGGCGTCCAGCCGACAAACCAAGCCCCGCTGTCCTCCATGCACCTCGGGAAACAAAGTCCCATACCACTTTGTTCAGCGAAGTTTCGGCGACAAGATTCGGTTTTGCCAGTGTTAATCATAAAAAAAAGATGTAAATATCACCAAATGCGTCGACGAAAGAAAATGTTAAAAAAGTAAGCCCTCACAGGGGATCGAACCCGGGATCGCTTGCTTATGAGGCAGATATCTTGCCACTAAGCTACACAACAGCTTCGAAAAACTCTTTTTGAGAATGCGTATTATACGAGACTTTCGGACGGCACTCAAACGCGTGAGTGGAGTACCGTCGGACGGCACTTGAACGCTCTGCAAGAGTGCCGTCGGACAGTACTCTAGACACTACGTTTAGGGTATTGTAACAAGTGATCAAACTGCTCTATGGCTATTGATAGGAAGTTTGTTACCGCAGGCTACAGTGCAGTGTAGCACTACAACCGGAGGCTCGCGCTGCGCCTTTGAAGCACAATTTTCAGCGCGTGCCAGGAGCGTTGCTGTACTCACGGTAGCCAATGGTACTGTTATGCTAAAACTGCCTATTACCATAATCGGTGTGTTTAGGGGTTCTATTTATTGCTCTACCAGAAATGCATATTTTAATATACTGCTATTTTTTTTTTTTTTTTGTATTGTGGTTTTTTTTAACTTTGTGGTTCCTTTTGCCGAAACTGCCCGTTCTAAGCTCTCGTCAAGAACGACTGGCTAACACGGATGCGCTTGAAATGCTTCAGGCATTTCTTTATTTTCTTTGCGATTACCCGAAAGCAAGTACACATATGCTATCTTTTAAAAGTGCTTGGAATAAATTGTCATGTTCCTACGGCCTTAAAACGCAAACCCATTCCTGACGTGTATTGTTCGACATATCGTTGCGCGGCCACTTTTCTCCTACTTAGGGCAAAGAATACACTTTTCGTAGACCGTACGCTAGAGCTGTACATTATTAGCGGGAGCGTTTGCCGTCACGTTGAGCACAGATTGAGCTGGCAGTCATGCACATGACCAGAAATCCGCAGCTCGTGCGATATACGAAAAGTCCCTAGTGAAATTAGACATCCCGGTCCTTCGTGCAACGCTGTTGCGAGGCGGTGCAAAAGAATTCCTATTTTAACGCGCTCACTTTTTTCGTTAAAACGGCTTCACACATCAAGGCCGACAGCCCCTTCCACCATTTCCGCGCCGCCGCCACTGCTGCCGTCCCCGTTCCTCTAGTTCTCCGCTTGTCCGCGTAAGGGCGAGCGGCGGGCTGGAGTTGCGAATAGCATCCGACTGCCACTGCACCGACCCACGTTCGAGCCCTGCGTCTTTATCAAGTTCTTTTTTCTTAATTTTTAATATATATATATATATAATTTTTTTTTTAAACTTTGGGAAGATTTTAACTCCCTGTAACAGTCCCAGCATGTCTCTTGTTCACAACGGTCGTCCATGTAGAGCGTTTACGACGCTCGTTCCCGATGCTCAATCAGGGCGCTCATTCATGAGAATTTTCTCATAGAAAACAAATGATAATACACATTCTGCATTAAAAGGTGTCCAGTACCCATATTACCACTAAGACAGCATGGCCCACTTGTTCTAAAAACAAATATCTTCATACCGACTTTAGCCGACGATTCGAGCACTCAACCGTTGACTGAGCAAGAGTCAGTTGTGATCTGCTTGGGGAGCCATACTGTACACCGTTTCAAGTCCCTGGGCAGCACCAATTTCAATGACTGTAGCGCCGTCTATCTTCATCCGGGCATTTTCAAGAATCCAAAGCCTTTCAGTCGACCTACTGCCATTACAACCCGGATTAATGTGCGCATCGCGTAGCATTGGTACCGTCACAAATCAACCTGCCGTTTGTTTTGTCCTGCCCTCAGGACTTGGTTTCATCAAATTTATTTATCGTATCAGTGAAACTTCAATGCTGAGAGCATCTCTTCTTCCGTCCAAAATGCCTAGTGGCAGCTGCTTCTGCCGCCTTGATTGGTGTAGCTGGTAAAGCCGGATCATTATCTTCGCCGAACTAGCCGGTGCTGTTTTCCACCCTTAGTAAATTATACGAGCGTTAGATCATTCGCATCAAGTCGTTAATAGTTCATTAGCGACATCAAAAATATACTCCCGATACAATCGAATTGTGGATGCTCGACGTTTCAATTTCAGTGGCACATTTTTGTTCCTTACCAAATGTCACCTACCAATTACTCTGCGAAAAAACTATACGCAACCGGCAATGCAGTTTTGCACTACACGTTGCACCATCTAGCGGCTGCGAAATAAAGAAACTGGGTAGGCCAGGCCAGGATGGGTCGCGG